TCAGGTGCTCCCGCAGCGACCCCGCCCCCGGGGGGCCAGTCTGGTGGGAAGGAGGCTGAACCCCTAGTGCGTCTCAGAACCCCAGCAGCCGGAGGATGGCATCACTGTAGTTATAGTTTTGTAATTTGTCAGTGGTCAAAGGGGTGTGGGAAGAAAATATTAGATCAGCGGTTCTCAACCTGTGGGTCGCGACCCCTTTGGGGTCGAACGACCCTTTCACAGGGGTCGCCTAAGACCATCGGAAAACACATATTTAATTACATATTGTTTTTGTGATTAATCACTATGCTTTAATTATGTTCAATTTGTAACAATGAAAATACATCCTGCATATCAGATATTTACATTACGACCCTTTCACAGGGGTCGCCTAAGACCATCGGAAAATACATATATAATTACATATTGTTTTTGTGATTAATCACTATGCTTTAATTATGTTCAATTTGTAACAATGAAAATACATCCTGCATATCAGATATTTACATTACGATTCATAACAGTAGCAAAATTACAGTTATGAAGTAGCAACGAAAATAATTTTATGGTTGGGGGTCACCACAACATGAGGAACTGTATTAAAGGGTCGCGGCATTAGGAAGGTTGAGAACCACTGTATTAGATCAAATCCTGTCTCTTTATTTTTCATAAAGAACTAGAATTTACTGGTATTTAATACATATGGATTGACAGAAGTAGGTGTATATACTTTATAAAGAAATATGCCTGACCTCACAGAAATACAAAGTATGCAGAAAAAAACTACTATGAACTGGACAGCCTGGATGAAATGGACATATTCCTAGAAAAATACAATCTTCCAAAACTCAATCAGGAAGAATCAGAAAGCCCGAATAGGCTGGTAACTACTGAGGAAATTGAAGCAGTAATAAAAAGACTCCCAGGAACAAAAGTCCTGGTCCGGCTGGCTTCACAGGGGAGTTTTACCAAATATTCAAAGAAGAACTAACACTGATCCTCCTCAAACTATTCCAAAAATCCCAGAGGAAGGAGCACTTCCAAGCTCTTTCTATGAGGCCAGCATCACCCCAATTCCAAAACCAGGTAAAGACACTGCAAAGAAAGAGAACTACAGGCCAATATCCCTGATGAACATAGATGCTAAAATCCTCAACAAAATCTTAGCAAATTAGATCCAGCGATACATTAATAAGATCATACACCATGACCAAGTGGGATTTATTCCAGGGATGCAAGGCTGGTACAATATTCACAAATCAATTTACATCATATAAACAGATTGCAGGACAAAAATAACATGATCATATTAATTGATGCAGGAAAAGCATTCAACAAAATCCAACACTTTTAAAAAAAGTATATCTTTATTGATTTCAGAGAAGAAGGGAGAGGAAGAGAGAGAGGAAAAAAAATGTCAATGATGAGAGAGAATCATTGTACGGCTGCCTTTGTCTGATCGAGCCCGAAAGTGGAATCTAAGGTGACCTCCTGGATCATAGCCACTGCTCAACCACTGAGCCACCAAGGCCAGGCCAACACCCTTTTTTGATAAAACCTCTCAGCAAAGTGGGAATAGAGGGATCATACCTCAACATAATAAAAGCTTATATGACAAGCCTACAGCCTACCTCATACTCAATGGGCAAAAACTAAAACCATTTCCCCTAAGAACAGGAACAAGACAGGGATGCCCTCTTTCACCACTCTCCTTCAACATAGTACATGAAGTCCTAGCCATAGCGATCAGATAAGAAGAAGAAATAAAAGGCATCCAAATTGGAAAGGAGGAAGCAAAACTCTCACTATTTGCAGATTACGTGACTTTGTACATAAAAAACCCTAAAGACTCCATAAAAAACTACTAGATTAAATAAATGAATTCAGCAATGTAGCTGGATACCAAATTAACACCCAGAAATCCATGGCACTTTTATACACAATAATGAACTCTCAAAAAGAAAAACTCAATCCCATTTACCATTGCAACAAAAAAATTAGGATACTTAGGAATAAACTTAACCAAGGGGGTAAAAGACCTGTACTCAGAAAACTACAGGGTGTTGAAAAAAGAGAAAGAGAAAGACATAAACAAGTGGAAAAATATACCGTGTTCATGGATTGGTAGAATCAATATCATTAAAATGTCCATACTACCCAAAGAAATCTATAGATTCAATGCAATCCCTATTAAAATACCAACGGCATATTTCACAGACCTAGAGCAAACAGTCCAAAAAATTTTATATGGAACCAAAAAAAGATCCCGAATAGCTACAGCAATCTTGAGAAAGAAGAACAAAGTTGGAGGAATCACAATACCAGATATCAACTACTACAAAGCCATTGCACTCAAAACAGCCTGGTACTGGTACAAGAACAGGCATATAGATCAATGGAACAGAACAGAGAACCCAGAAATCGACCCAAGCCATTACGCTCAATTGGTATTTGACAAAGGAGGCAAGCGCATACAACGGAGTCAAGACAGTCTCTTCAGAAAATGGTGCTGGGAAAATGGGACAGACACATGCGAAAAGAATGAAACCGGACCGCCAACTCACACCACACACAAGAATAAACTCAAAGTGGATACAAAACTTGAAAGTAAGACGTGAAACCGTAAAAATCTTAGGAGAAATCATAGGCAGCAAAATCTCAGACATCTCTTGTGGCAATATGTTTACGGATACATCTCCTGGGACAAAGGAAACTAAGGAGAAAATAAACAAATGGGACTACATCAAAATAAAAAGCTTCTGCAGCAAAAGAAACCATCAACAAAACGAAAAGGGAGCCCACTGTATGGGAGAACGTATTTGGCAATGATACATCTGATAAAGGGTTAATATCCAAAATATATATATAAGGAACTCATACAACTTAACAGAAGGAAGACAAACCATCCAATTAAAAAATGGGCCCAACAGTGGTTGAGCGTCGACCTATGAACCAGGAGGTCAGGGTTTGATTCCCAGTCAGGGCATATGCTTGGGTTGCAGGCTCCATCCCCTGTGTGGGGTGTGTAGGAGGCAGCTGATCAGGAACTCTCTCATCATTGATGTTTCTATCTCTCTCTCCCTCTCCCTTCCTCTCTGAAATCAATAAAAATATATTTTTAGAAATGGGCAAAGGACCTAAATAGACACTTCTCCAAAGGGGACATACAGATGGCCAAGAGACATGAAAAAATGCTCGAAGTCACTGATCATCAGAGAGATGCAAATTAAAAGACAATTCTCACACCTGTCAGAATGGCTACCATCAAGCAAAGGCACCCAAATCAACAAATGACAAGTGCTGGCGAGGACGTGGAGAAAAGGGAACCCTAGTACAGTGGGGCCTTGACTTACAAGTGTCCCGTATAACGAGTTTTTCGAGATACGAGCTGTCTCTCGGCCGATTTTTTGCTTTGAGTTGCGAGCTAAAATTCGGGTTACGAGCCAGTGTCAGATACCCCACCGCTAGTTGGCGCAGCGAACGTCACAGTGAACGCCACAACATCAGCCCAGCATCACGTGTCTCACTCGTTCACTTTAAGATTTGACATACGAGTAATTTGAGTTACGAGCTCCGTCACGGAACGTAAACTCGTAAGTCAAGGCCCCACTGTACACTGCTGGTGGGAATGCAGACTGGTGCAGCCATTATGGAAAACAGAATGGAGTTTCCTTAAAAAGAGAAATATGGATCTCCCATTTGACCCAGTGATCCCCCTTCTAGGAATATATCCTAAGAAACCTGAAACACCAATCAGCAAGGATATATGCACCCCTATGTTCATAGCAGCACAATTTACAATAGCTAAGATCTGGAAACAGCCTAAGTGCCCATCAGTAGATGAGTGGATAAAAAATCTGTGGTACTTTTACACAATAGAATACCATGCAGCTGTAAAAAAAGAAGGAACTCTTACCATTTGCAACAGTTTGGATGGACCTGGAGAGTATTATGCTAAGTGAAATAAGCCAGTCAGAGAAAGATAAACATCACATAATCTCACTTACATGTAGAATCTAACGAACAAAATAAACTGATGAACAAAAATAGATCCAAAGACATAGAAGCATGAATAGACTTTCGAACCTCAGAAGGAAGGCAGGGGAGGGAAGTGATCAACCAATGAACTTGTTTGCATATATGCATAACCCGTGGACACAGACAATAGGGTGATGAAGGCCTCGGGGGAGGGGTCCAATGGGAGAAAAAGGGAGACATCTGTAATATTTTCAACAATAAAGATTAGGAAAAAAGAAATATGCCTGTATGGGGTGTACACTTAAATGTATTTTACTGAGAGGGGACATGTTTTCTTAAAAGTTAGAGACTATAGAGCCAGTGTTGGTGTGATTGCCGTGGTGGGAGAGGTTTATAGAGCCAGTGTTGGTGTGATTGCCGTGGTGGGAGAGGTTTGGGTGAGCGCTGGGGAAGCCCAGAGGTCTGCGGGCCTAAAACTCCACAGGTGAGTAGCAGTTCCACAGGCCAAAAAGCAAGGGGGGGCGGGGCGCTGCTACCCGGGGAAAGAACAGGGAGATAAAGGATCGGAGGTTGGAAATAGCCAGAGGTATGCAAAGGTCTGTCATCTCCGGCACGGTCCCCCCTGGACGGCCACTTGGTGGCTGACCATCCCTGAGTGACAGCCTCACTGGGTCTTGGTTTGTCATTTATAAATGGGTTTGATGATGGCACCAACGTGGCAGGAGTGCTGTGCAGACTGAAGGAGACGGCAGGTGGGACCTGCACATAGCGGGCACTCAGACTCGGTCTTCTGCTCCTCTTCAGAGCTGCACTCAATCTGCCTCCCGCGTTCCCAGCACAACTTGGCACGTGGTTGCGGTCATTTTTTGAGGGAATTAACGAGTGCGTCTTTATTTCCATTGTTTCTCACAAGAGTCCAGTGAGATAGGGTAGAGGTTGCCTCCATTTTACAGGTGGAGAAACTGAGGCTCGGGGAGGTGAACTGACTAGCTCAGTGTCACCAGATCATACTGCTGCTTGAATCCAGATCTGTCTGCTGTCACAGCTTTGCCCCTAACCCCTGTGTGTCTTATACTCGCAGGATTAGAGCTGGGGATTGAACAGAAGGCTCAGGCTTTTTGTCTCTCGTCACTTCCTTGGTCCACCTGACCCAGATTTGCCCTAACTAATCTTTCTGAAATGCTACTTCTTCAGTTGACACCTTTGCTCAGACACATTCACTGTCTCCACACTGCCTAAGGTTCAAGTTTAAATGTGCTGGGCTGACGTTCACGGCTCTCCCTGTTCTGGCCTCCGGCTGCCATTCTAACTACAGGGATGTGTCAGACCCTGCTGTGAGTGTGTGTGGTCAAGGGGTAGATGCTGCAGACGGTCAGTGAGGGCATCTGGGCCGGCTCTGGAAGTCGGGCTTTAGGAAGGCTGTGAAGTCCATGTGAGGCTTCCTGAGCGATTCAGCAGCTTGATTATGGTTAGAGTCGGGTTGGGGTGAGGTTTGAGGCTGAAGTTTATGCCAGAGTTGGATTTCCAGTCCAAAGTAGGAAGAGTGCAATAGCAGGCGTCGGTGTCCCTGCGGCGTCTGACTTAGGAAGGGACATTGAGGGTCTAGTGATCCCTGGTGCTGGGATTGGGGTTTGACGCAGGGGCCGACAGGCAGCGCATTTGGAGGTGTGGGGGGTGTTTTGAATTTTCACATGACTGGGGTTGCTGCCGGCATTCAGAGAGAGGAGCTCAGGCTCCAGGTGTCTGTAATGCAGCAAGCAGGCGCCGTGGCCCTGCCCCACATGCTGCCCGTCCCTCCTGGGAGACACTGAGGCAGAGCCTGTGTGAGGGGGAACTGGACAGCATTAGGCTTGAATTCCAGTCTGTGGCTCTCTTCTCTGCAGCTGGGAGAGGCGGGTGCCCTCGGTCCTCTGGGACAAGCCGAGGCAAATATGGGGACCGTCTGGCTAGTTTGGGGCCGTGGTGTCCAACCATGCTGGGCATTAGAGTCGCTCAGCGGGGGTGAGGGTGGGGCTTTAAAAAATGCTGATGCTAGTCTGACCTCCCAGCAATTCTGAGTTAATTAGTAGGAAGTGGGGTTGGGGCAGTAGGAGTTTTAAAGGCTCCTTGGGGGACTGGAGCCTTCTCTGGGGCTTGAAACTCTCTCTTTAAACTACTCCTCTCAGTAAAGCAGTGGTTCTCAAAGTGGGGTTCCGGGACCAGCAGCATCAGCGTCCCTTGGGAACATGTTAGAAGGGAAAATTCTCAGACCTCACCATTGACCATTGGAAGCTCTGGGTGGGGCCCAGCAAGCAGCATTCCAGCACCTTCGGGGCCTTTGTCCCCCTCAGCTCTGAGCCCCTGCAGCCCAGCACTGAACTGAGGCCCGCATGCAGAGACTGACCTTATTGCCCGGAAGTGGGGGTGGTTCTCCACACTTCTCGAGTGATGGAGCGGCCAAGTAGCTGTGGGTGCTTGAGGCCAGGACGTTTCCATCCTGCTCCCAGCTCCCCAGCACTGAACTGAGGCCCGCATGCAGAGACTGACCGTATTGCCCCAGAAGTGGGGGTAGTTCTCCACACTTCTCAAGTGATGGAGCGGCCAAGTAGCTGTGGGTGCTGTGGATGGCAGGGTCCATGAGGCCAGGACGTTTCCATCCTGCTCCCAGCTTTCTCCAGGGCCTGGCCCAGGGTGCGTGCTGAACAAGTGAATGAGGGGAGACACACAGAAAGACAGAGAGACCTGGGAGAGGAGATGTGACTTTCGCTTACTGTCCTGGTCCCACAACATGTGAGGCTAGTGTTTCTAGTGCCTAAGATACAGACTTCAGGCACCAAGGGGCCCTGACCGCCTGCCTCTTCCCTGGCGCGCATTCAACGTCTGGGCTTGTCTCCAGTGTGGTGCGTGAATGTGGCGCGGGTGCACCACCCGACAGGCAATCTACAGGTTGTTTTCTTTCCTCAGCTGAGGATCGTTTTGCCACTGATTTTTAGAGAGCGTGGAAGGGAATGAGGGAGAGAGCGAGAGAGAGAAACATTGATGTGAAAAGAGACACATCGACTGGTTGCCTCCCAGATGCATCCGGACTGGGACCGGGGATTGTGTGAGGGCCGATGAGTCACACCCACCAGGGCTACTTTTTGTTTTAAAACAATTAAAATTTACACCTAAGCTGCAGGAGAGCATAAGGAACTCTGGAACGAACTCTTGGCCAAAGGCCACTCACGTTTTGCTAATTGTCCCAATAATGGCTGTTATCGTCTGGGGCCACACCTTGCACTGGTTGTGCCTCCAGTCCTCTTTAATGGATGGGGGATGGTGCAGGGCAAGTTTCCTGCGATTTTCACTTGTGGGCAATTAACATGACTAGAAAGTTGCCTTTAAGTCCCAATCTCCATGTAAAAAGCCGTTCGGTTCACGGGGCTGTCTCAGCTGCGTCTCCAGTGGCCCTGGGCGGCAGGGAGTATGAATCAAGGGAAAGCCAGGCAGGACTCGATGGCAGGCGGCAGAAGTCCATGTGGACTAGCATAGGCTCAGAGCCGATGACCCCTGACCTGGGCCAGCCCGGAGCATTCCCCCTCGGGCAGGGCGGTGCCAGGGCTGTTTCCTCTGCGTTGGTGGGAAAGGTGACCACTGTGTCTCCCTGACACATCAATTCCTCCAGGGGCGGGGAGGGGGGGAGACTGGCTCTACTGGAGTCACTTGCTTACTCCTGAGTTAGTCCTATGGCCCAACAAGATGGGGGCACTCTGATTGGCCAACTCCAGTCATGTGCCCGCCTCTGGGCGGGGCTCTCTTGATGGACAGCCCTACCCCTCAGGAGTCGGGTATAAGGCCCGGGAAATCGTTTGGTCCGGCTCTGGCTCTGCCGAGGCATTAGGGTGAGTTAACTAAATGTTTGCCTAAATAGAGCAGGCGACCTTTAAAGCTGATAATTCTGTATGGCCCCGAATGATGTTATACATATCCAATGGCCGCTGGCAGGAAAAAGGTTCCCCACGGTTCTAAAAACGAAAAGGGGGGTTCCGCTTCTCCCCGGGACTTGGTGGGAGCTCTGGTCAGAGTCAGGAATCATAACAGTAGCAGCGGCGGTAGCTGGGACGTTCATCGAGAGCTTGCAGGGTTCCAGGCACCGGAATGAGTGCTTTATCTGTTTTACCTCGTTTCATGCAGCCGTTTTATGCGATAGACGCTTTCATACATGCTTCCCATGCGAGGCAATGTCACAGAGAGGCGCAGTCACCTGCCCAAGGCCACACAGCCTGCACTCTGCAGACTGCGGGCCCAGGGTGACCGGCTCCGGAGGGCCCTGCGCCCTCCTAGGTGCAGCGAAGCCAGGTCTCTCGCTGCAGGTGGGGCTG